TGAGCAGCATGCAGGACCCGGACAGGCCAGGAACCTGCTGGAGGCTGCCGTTGGGCCGTGGGTTGGACTTTCCTCAGCCCTGGTCTATAATCTGGTAACAGCCACAGCCACACGGCCAGGCCAGGGGAGTCTCCGCGGGGCAAACACCTGAAACTGTCCAGGTTTGGGAGGCGAAATTCCATTCCCGTGCCTGTCCCTCTGCACTGCGGGGGATCCCGTGGGTCGCCATGGGAACTACGGTGTCAAGAAGACGGTTCCCAGGGCCCGTTTTGTCATCACGGGCTACAGCAGGGAGCAGGGAGAAGACGCCTTCCCCTCGCCCACGGCCGATACCTGCGCGGCGAGAGCCAGTGACTATGGGGATTGCTACATCACAGGGGCCCTGCCATGCTGCCGCAGCCGGGCCCCTGTAGTGCCGGAGTGTAGCTCCTTCCTGCATCGACGGAAGGGTGTTTCCCCTCGCTGCAGTTAATCCCCCCATCCCAGAGGCTGTAGCTAGATCAGCAAAAGGATCCTTCTGTCCATCCAACCGTGTCTACACGAGGGATGTAAAATCCCGGTTAATCAGTTCACTAGTTAACCATGATGTTTAACCAGTTAATTGCTTAAATGGGGGTGGTGTGGTCCCTGTTCTGTGGCCAAGGGCTGCTCGGGCCAGGCCAGGCCCACGGTGCCTCATTGCGGGCAGGCGGGAAGCCGGTGGGTGATTCTTGCTGGTTAACCGGTTAACCATGCGCAGCCCGAGTCTATACCGGGGTCGGTGTGACCTAACCGTCTTGCTCTGAGCGTGGAATTTTTCTCTGCCCTGTGCGATGCAGCTGTAAACCAATCACACACACACCGGGATTAGCCACTCACCTGACAGAACCGCAATGGCAACAATGAGACCGACAAGTACAACCGCCAGTGCGACTGTACATGCCACCTGTTTCCTGTGCTGGCAGCCACGGCTGTTATCTGAAAGAGAGAAGAGGCCCTTAGTTCTCCTGAGACTGGGGCACTTGGAGTCAGTGGCTACACAGGGCAAAGGGTCCAGAATTGTCCCTCACTCTGGATCCTCCCGTGTCTACAGCGTCACTGCGAAGGGACGGTGGTAGCGACAAGCGGGGTGGAGAGAAGGATTGATCTAGGGCAAAGGGTCCAGAATTGTCCCTCACTCTGGATCCTCCCGTGTCTACAGCGTCACTGCGAAGGGACGGTGGTAGCGACAAGCGGGGCGGAGAGAGGGTTTTGTTCCTTTATCGCCAAGATCCCTCACCCAAGTTTGAGACTGTAGGTCACTTACACTTAACAGACACCCCTGTGGTGCACAGCTACAATACGGGCTATATCCATGCCCTGCCGAGAACTACACCATTGTGATATCAGCGGCAACGCAGCCAATCAGCTGCCTTAATCTAGACCCGATTTGCATGCAACGGTTTCATTACCGTGAACGGTGAACGGGGCTGTTTCATTCCACTGATGGCGCCTTCCTGGACTCTCCCACAATTGACACGTCCCAAGGGCGAGCGGATCCCGGCTCACAGGGGAGAAGGGATGGGAATGTGGGACTCACCCTCATTCTTCAGTGTGGGCCCCCTGCCCAGCCTGCGCCCCTCCTCCTGACACTAAGTCTGCATGTGTGCTGATTCTCGCATGAACGGGGCTGTTTCATTCCACTGATGGCGCCTTCCTGGACTCTCCCACAATTGACACGTCCCAAGGGCGAGCGGATCCCGGCTCACAGGGGAGAAGGGATGGGAATGTGGGACTCACCCTCATTCTTCAGTGTGGGCCCCCTGCCCAGCCTGCGCCCCTCCTCCTGACACTAAGTCTGCATGTGTGCTGATTCTCGCAAGGGAGGGTGGGTTGCTCCGGGGAGAGCAGTGACTGTCTTTTTCCATACAAGACACTTTTCTCAGGCTGCCTAGCTGTTAGTTTCTTTCTAGTTTCCTCAGTGTGCAAATTAGCTCTCATACATTATGGCTGAAACTGAGCATTTTAAACGTTCTTCCTGTGTGCAGCTACCTTGCTGAACCAGGTGTGTTCAGTGGAGGACCTGGGTGTGTTTCCTTATGTAATCTTTGGCACGTGGAAGTCTCTGCCTCAGTTTCCCATCTGGGCTATGGTCGGAGAACAGTAATTCCCTCTCGCACAAGGGTGCTGCAAGAGTAGACTCATTCCCAGGCTGTGATGGGCCCCCCCTTAATGGGGATAGGGCCCAGATACGAGTTTATCTGATAGCGTAGGAGATTGGTTTATGCTGAGGGCTGATTTAGTTCCACCAGATCCAGAGGGCTCCTCAAGGACTATCTGGGTTCGTTCTCTGGAGGAACATCCCGTCAGATCTCAGATGATCAGTGGGCAAAAATTCTTCAGCGGAAGTGAGTAAAGATGCTGGGAATTTTACAGCAAAGACCTTTAAAGCAAGTGGGGTGAGCTGCCAGTGTTCCCTGTAAGCCGTGCATCTGGGCGGGCAGTTGGGAGGATTCCAATGCCACGTGGCTGATTAGCAGAGCGCCCAGTGCAATATGTCTTTATATTGGTGGTGCACATCTGCCCGTGCACCAGTGCACAAAATAAAATTTATTCCATGCATGGATGGAGTAACTCAGAGGGAACATTGTTAGCTACTCGGGTCCAACCTCAGACTACATTTTATGTTTTAATGTGAGCTGGTAGCTCATCATGCTGGCTGTGTCTAGACTGGCAAGTTTTTCTGCAAAATCATTTGATTTTGCAGAAAAACTTGCCAGCTGTCTACACTGGCCGTTTGAATTTCTGCAAGAACACTGACGATCTCATATAAGATCATCAGTGTTCTTGCGGAAATACTGTGCTGTTCCCGTTCAGGCAAAAGCCTTCTTGCGCAAATCATTTGTGTAAGAGGGCCAGTGTAAACAGCACAGTACTGTTTTCTGCAAAAAAGCCCCGATGGCGAAAATGGCGATTGGGGCTTTTTTGCGGAAAACTGCGTCTAGATTGGCCACGGATGCTTTTCTGCAAAAAGTGCTTTTGCGGAAAAGCGTCCTGCCAATCTAGACGTGCTTTTCCGAAAATGCTTTTAAAGGAAAACTTTTCCATTAAAAGCATTTTCGGAAAATCATGCCAGTGTAGCCGTAGCCGCTGTGTCTTCGCTGCTATTTCACCCAAGTCAGCTAATGGGGGTTATCCACCCCACCTGAGAACAGACCTTTTCCTGCAACGTGGACAGACGCTCTCTGTGACCAGACGTGACCAGAGAGCTGTGGACCTTGGAAACCTTCCAGTCAAAATTCACATAACTGGGCAAAATGTTTCAGACATATACTTTTATGGGAAAAATTCCCAGCAACTGACTCATTGCCTCTGAAGAATTTTTGCCCACTGATCATCTGAGATCTGACAGGATGTTCCTCCAGACAACCAACCTACATAGTCCTTGAGGAGAGGAACCCTCTGGGTCTGGTGGAATTAAATCAGCCCCCAATATAAACCAATCTCCTGTATATCTACATAAGCTCTTATCTGGGAATTACTGTTCTTGCACCATGGTATAGATGGGAAACTGAGGCAGGGCGAGACTACCTTGTGCCAAAGTTTACGCAAGGAATCACACCCAGGTCCTCCGCTGCCCAGCCTGGCCCCCAAACCACTAGGCCATGCTTCCCTCAGAAGTCAGCTCCGAGAGTGAATGGGAAAAAATTCCTCCCTCCCCCAGAAGGGTGATTGAAAGCCACAAAAGTGCCAGGTGTGAGTAGTGAAACAGGGAGGGAGGAGGAGGTTGTATTCCCAGCCCAGCAGCTGACAGGATGCTGGCAGTTCACAGGGGAAGGGGGTGGGCGAATTTCCGCAGCCTGTGGGAGAAGGAAACATGCGGCCGGAACATGTGGGCCCTCGCCTCACCTTCCCACCGACAGGGGAAATCTGGCCTCACAGAACGGCGGGAGAAAGGGACGTGGGGTGCGGGGGAGGGAGAGACACGGGGCAGATCTGTAAATGGGGGTGCAATATGAGCCCCCTCAGGATACATCATCCCTCCTCCCCCCAGACTCCATAGTCAGGATCCCAGCTGGCAGTGAGGGCCTGTGGGGGCAGTTGGGGAGGGGGGGAAGAGTGAAAACCTCCCCTCAGCAACAGAAGGAAGAGGACAGAGAGGGCAGGTGAATAGAGGGGGGAGCAAGAGGCTTTTGCTCAGCCTCTCCCTCCCCCCCAGACCCAGCCTGGCTCCCAGCACAGCAAACCAGCCACCCTGCTCCCAGCCAGCGTTAGAGCCTCAGCCCCACACGTGCGAGCTGCAGTCACTCTCCAGCCAGGGCAGCACCAAGGGGCCGACCCCCCAGTGCGGCCTGGGGCCAGGGAGCTGCCCCCAAAGGCTGCTGCATCGCAGCCCCTGTCCCGTGGGGTCCTCCCCAGGCCGGCCGAGTGTCACAGCTCCGCTCCACGGGGGCGGGGAAAGCCACAGAGGAGCTATAAATATCACAGCACGAGGGAGTGATGGCACCAGCCCCTGCAGGTCAGGCGTGGGCCTACCCCCGGGTGACACGACGCCCCGTGACAGCTTTACGCACTAGTTACACAGCGCGGGGGTTTGCCCGCTGCGTCGCTCATGGGTTTAGAGGCCACCCAGATGACTGGGCGGGAAATTTTAGCCTTCAAAAGGAAACACCCGCCGTCGCTCTTCTGAGAATCATTTTAACCACCAAAGGAAGCTGCTCAGAATTTCCACCCCCCGGTTCTCCTTTTCTGCACATGGCTCATTTCCTACTCATTATGAGACCACTGTTCTTTCCACCTGCCCTTCCCAACGGTTCATGGAATAAACCCCCTTCCCCGTAGCACTGCTGGGGCTCCCCCAGCCATGGCCCACGCCCCACGGCCACAGCAGCCTGGCCCTGCCTCTGGGATCACGGCCGTGCCAGGATAGCGGGGGCTTGTGATAGCCCCTTCCCCCCACCCGGCCCATTGCTGGACCCTTCCTTCCCCATACACCTTCCCCCCTGCTGCTGCTTCCGCACTGCCCCACAGCTGCCTCCGCTCCCTCCCCCCTGCTGGCTTCCTGCTCTTCTCATCTCTCCCTCCCATGGCTAACCCCTTCCTTCCTTAACCGCTCCTCATTCCTCGCTGCTGACTCCTTCTCCACTCCCTGCGACCACTTCCTGCCCTCTTCCTTTCTTCCAGTGCCTGCCAGAATTGGGCATGGAACAGACTTGGAGGAGTGATGTCTAAACCTGCAGCTCCTGCAGCGGGGAAGTGGGGCTGCAGCTTGGGAAGAGGTGCCGGAGCTGGCTTGGATCAAGCTAGTGCCCCTATAACGAGCAGCAAAGCAGCATCAGGGGTTTGGCACGAGCTAGGAGGGCAGGTTCATACCTGCGGGGCTAAGGGGACACGCCGGGCCAGGCCACTGCTCCGCTGTGATTTGTAGCAGCTCCCTCGTGATCAATGCTGGCTCAGGCGTGAACCCCCAGCTGTCGACAGAGCTATGTCATTTCTAGAACTACAGTATGTCTGTCAGAGGCTGGAGAGTGATAGAAATGTAGCCGTGTTAGTCTGGGGTAGCTGAAGCAAAATGCAGGACAATGTAGCACTTTAAAGACTAACAAGATGGTTTATTAGATGATGAGCTTTCGTGGGCCAGACCCACTTCCTCTGATCAAATAGTGGAAGAAAGTAGTCACAACCATATATACCAAA